GAGAGAGAGAGAGAGAGAGAGAGAGAGAGAGAGAGAGAGAGAGAGAGAGAGAGAGAGAGAGAGAGAGAGAGAGGGTTTGGCATGTGCATAGAGGGTGGGACTAGGGCGGGGGGAAGAGGTGGGGAGGAGAGGGACTGAGGGGGGGAAGGGAGGAGAGGCTGACGAGTCTCGTTGTTGGCTGCGGAGACAAGTGGAATACTTTTTGGCCGTTCTCACTTATTTTTTCGGTTTTTTCTTTGGACCAATTGTTTCGTTCTTGAAATTTGGTACCGATTCATAGTGTTGTTTCGTATTCGCTTCGCTTCACTTGGATTTGATGTGTGTTTGTCGTTTTCTTCAGAAGCCCTTTTTGATGTTATCTTAAGATAACGACTGTTGGAGGAAGGATGGGAGCGAGGAGAGAAGCTTGTCTTTCTTTCGCTGTCCTGGATATGGTTTTGAGCGCTCCCACGTTGGGGGATTGTCGAGAAGAGGCTGTGGAGGAGGGGGAGGGGGAGGGGGAAATGGTTCTCTTTCCCCCCCTTGTGTGTCTGTGATGGTGTAGCATGTACTTAGTCGCAATTCAGAGACTCGTTATGCCGATGTGGTGTGTGGTGGGGTAGCGACAGAACGGAGAGCACGGTGGTCCCTCTTTTGAAAATGCAATCTATTGCTGTATGTTTGGTACAAGGCGGACAAGCGATGTAGGTATATGTCTGACGAAGAAGATTGGGGGGGGCAGGTTTTGGGTGGATGGTAGTATGCGATACGAGGTCGCTCGCAAGTGATTGATTGAGTGAGAGACTGAAAGGAGATGTGGACACTGCACGGCTCGTTAAGGCTGGCAAGTGATTGATTGAGTGAGAGAAAGGCTGGGTTTTGACAGGTCTAGGTGGAAGTAGGGTAGCAGGGATGGAAGGAGAGGAGGAGGGCGGCGTGTAGCTTCGCTTAGGCCCGAGGAGCTAGCCTCGGGTAATTTCACTTACCGTCTCCCCCCGAACATAACGCACCCTAAAAATGAATGTATACAGGCTATATTTTCAGCCAGATACAGCCAAAATAAGGGTGCGTTGTGCTCGGGGGAAGACGGTAGTCGTCGTTTTCTTGGGTTGATTCTCCCTGCGGCCTTTTGCTTTTCGTTTTTCCGCCGCACTTTAGTCCTGCCTGCTGTGTTTCGGGTCGCTGCATCGACTTGTCTGAGAAGAGTCTCTGATCTAGAACGGAGGAAGGGGGGGGGGGGTGAGACGAGTCTCCGATCATGAAGAGGGGAGTGGGGAGTAGGGAGAGGTGGTTGGCAGCGTTGGAGAACGGGAGAAGTAGGAAGAAGGCAGGATACAATAATTCTCAATGTTCGCGACGGAGGTCGTGAAAATAAGTCGCGCTCTCGGACTTTTTGCATTTTTTCGGAGATGTTCGCTGTCGTACGAGTGGATGGAACTTAAGCAAGCGAGTTGCAATATTATTGTTTTGTTTTGTTTGGAATCAGTTGCTGTTTTTTTCTTTCTTTTTTTCGTCCTTACGAAGTGACGGCTTCAGTTTCAAACTGCATCGTTTTTTTTTTTGTTTTTTTTTTCTTTCTTTCGTCCTTACGAAGTGACGGCTTCGGTTTCAAAGTGCGTCGTTCTTTTTTTTTTTTTTTTTTNTTTCTTTCTTTCTTTCGTCCTTACGAAGTGACGGCTTCAGTGTCAAAGTTCGTTTTAATAACGATTTCGCGAATGTTGTGTGCCGAAGCGAGGAAAATCGTGGGTGTGTTGTATTCGCGGGATGCCTGAAGTGGATTTAAAACTGAAATCGTTACTACTGCGCCCTAGTGACCCCTTCTTTCTTTCTTTATGTGTGTACAGACACATATTGGGTTGTGCTTGAGCGATAATGTGGATGAACAACCTTGGTCGACAGAACAAGTCGTCAGAGTGGTTTGACCTCGAGAATTGTCCCCTCCCAGCCTGTGCTCTGCTCGTTGTATTCTCCTGCCGTCTTTTCGTTTTCCCTCGCTACCATACTCATCCTTGTCTATACTTCTCTGCTCTTCCCAGATGATCCGTCTATGTCCAACCCGTACTGATCTTTGCCCTTCGGCTACCTTTCTCTACCCCTCGGCGACCGTTCTTTCCCCGGCCCCTACGGTCTCTGCTCTTAACCTAACCTCCTGGCCCATCCCCGGGCGGCCCGAGCCTTCGCGCTGCTGCTACCGGTCGCTGATGCCTTCGGATGCCCTCCGCTCTTGACCTCCTCTTACCTACCTTTCCCAAGAGCTGCAATGAGTGCGCAACACGCACAAACTTGCGCTGCCCTTGGCCTGCCTGTCCCTTCTCTGCCTGGGTGTGTGCTCTCTCTTCCATGAGCACGCAACACGCGGACTTGCGCGGACCTTTGCCCGCCTGTCCCTCTCTGCCATGGGCGCGCAACACGCGGAACTTGCGTGGACCTTCGCCTGCCAGTCCCTCACTGCCATGAGCGCGCAACACGCGGACTTGCGCGCACCTTTGCTTGCCTGTCGGACGTTTGGCTGCCATGAGCGCGCAACACGCACACACTCGCGCTGCCCTTTGCCTGCCTGTCCATCTGCCTGGGTGCGTGCTCTCTTCCATGAGCGCGCAACACGCGGACTTGCGCGGACCTTTGCCTGCCCGTCGGACGTTTGCCTGCCTGTTCCTCTCTGCCACGAGCGCGCAACACGCGGACTTGCGCGGACCTTTGCCTGATTGTTCCTCTCTGCGATGAGCGCGCAACATGCGGACTTGCGCGGACCTTTTCCTGCCTTTCCCTCTCTGCCATGAGCGCGCAACACGCGGACTTGCGCGGACCTTTGCCTGCCTCTTTCTATGTCTGGGCGCAAATAAATACAGTAATTAAATAAGCATCACCAGTAATGCGGCTGTTGTGAGGCATCCGCTGATTATCTAGGTCGGTTTGATCGCGCGATCGTCAGATGATCTTCGTCGGTATCGGAGGTCCCGGCCGAGGCCTCATCTGACCGTGCATTTTGCCTTTGTTCTCCCAGCGCGTGTGCGTGCTCGTTCCTCTGCCATGCGTTGCGCGGCGTGTTCTCTTCCCCCCCTCCTCCCGTTGCACTCTTCATGTCTCTCTCCTCTTCCACGCTCATATCGAAGTCTAATTCCTTGGCTCCGATTCTCCCCCTGCCTTCCCCTCCTCCCCCGTCCCACGTCCCCGCCCCAAAAAGAAAAAAACAATCGTCTCCCTTGTTTTGCCTGTCTTATAGGCATCGAATTGTTTAGTCAGCTGATTAAGTGTCTCAGAAAACTCTCAAGGGATGGTGTGCTTTCTGATATCTGCTCGTTGGGCGTTCTTCTGTGTTTTTTTGGAGTACTTCGTTGCCGGTTCTCTCCCCTTTCTTCCCCCCCCCCCCCCCGTCCTCCCCGAAGGGCCTCGCTCCACTACTGTCGACATGCACAAAAAACGAAAAATTATGGCGATGCACCTTTCCATTTTCTAGCGGAAGATTCATTCTCATTTTGAACATTCGGATAGTGGAGCGAGGACCCAACTCTCGCTTCCTCTCTTGGCCTCCTGTCGATATCTGCATTTTTTCCATCCCTGGGTTGTGTGTTCTGACTCACCACGATTCGAAAATGTCAAGCGGGGGCAGCGAGTGAATTGAATTTTGATTGCTAGGAGGCGTAATGCGTTCGCGGGCTCGAGCTCCTGCTTTTTTTCGTATATGAGCGCCCTCGTCGATCAATTTATCGATAGGGCTCGAGGCACCATTTTTTATTAATTTATTATTATTGTTATTTTATTATTATTATTATTATTATTATTATTATTACTTTTTTATTTTTATTTTTTGACCACACAGTACATTCAGTATCAAAGCAAGTCAATCGAGGCCGGGGACCTCACAATTCAACCCGGAGTTATCTCCGCAGCGTCAGCCGATTTAGCTTATGACTCGGTAACATTCGAATTCACAGTATCATTCTTGCTCTGTATGGTCCTACTCTGTAACATTCGAATTCACAGTATCATTCTTGCTTGCACTCGTCTGAACTCTGTATCAATCGATCTCAACCCCGGTATCAGTACTGCCAAATAGTCTTAATTATTCCATCACACTTATATTCTTGGTATCCTGTCGAAACCAAGCCAAGCCTAAACCGGCCTAATACTTGTTTATTTTTAGCTCGAGGGACGATGATGTTAAAGGTCGAAGGATTCGTAATTTACTGTCCGCCTAAGTAAAGGCTTGCAATTACTTGCTGGCGCGCACACCTCAGAGAAAGAGAGAGAGAGAGAGGAATGTCTGTAACTTTTTTTTCTTTTCCTAATGTCTAGAAATGTAGAATGACCGGATGAAAGACTCCGCCGCAGGAAAAAAAAAAAAAAAAAAAAAAAAAAAAACGTTACTGGTGTGGGATAAGGTCGCAAAAACAAAAAAATTACTGGTGGTAGGTGATCGAATTCTGTTTAAGCTTTAATTCATATTTTTTCTCTGACCTACAATTTTTTTTTGTCTTATATTTCGCGTAATATAAGAAAATAATAATGTGATGATTCGTATAATGGAGTGGAATCAAATTGTACATCCCTCGTACGTAGGCCGAGTTTGACGTCGATTGTCAGTGAATGGGAGTTCCGGTGGAGAACACTCTTTCTCTCTTTCTCTCTCTGTCTCTCTGTCTCTCTCTCTCTGTGATTGAAACGGAACGAGGCTTACGACCGGCGAACAAGGGGTCTAGCTCCACTTTTTACTCATCAAATGTGCAAAATGAGAATGAATCTTCCTGTAGAACATGGGAACATACTTTGCTATATTTTTCTGGCTTTTGTGCATGTGGTGAGAAGTAGAGCGACTCCCAAGGTAAGCAAGTCCTCGATGAGTACGGATGTAATTAGTTTCGTAGTCTTCCCACGAATAGAACGTACGGTCATGAAATCCGTATTTTCAGTCCAGATGCAACGAACATTGCCAGTACTAACATGTTCCGCTGCATCTGGACTGAAAATATGGATAGAATGATCGTCCGCGCTATTGGGGGAAAACGGTAAGAGTGTGTATACGTAGAATAGTAAAGAACTAACAAATAAATGAATTTATTTATTTATTTTGGGAAAATAAGCTTAGGATTTTATTAATTCTAATAGTACAGTAATTAATACTCGATGACGCCTTGATTGGCGAAGCGATTGATATGTGTGATCAGGACATCCACTCCAAACTCCTATCTTATTATTTTCTATATTTATTCGTTAATAGTATTAAATATTATTAGGAAAAAATATAATATAATTCCTTTAACATTTATTCAAAGTCGTCTTTATTAAATATCTTCTACACGAATTTGAAGTTTATATTGGTTGGAGCGAGGATATACAAGAAGCTTGCAAAATGGTATTATACTATATAATATATATATATATATAAATATATATCGTCAAATAGAAATATATATATATATATATAAATAATTAAATAATGTAATCTAGTATCTTCGTAGGCTACCATAGTGGCCCGGGACCCACTTATGCGGCCGGGCCAAAAAATTAAAATAAAATATTTTTTTGTTTTGATTTATTTTGTATTCCAAATTTGGTAACGAATTGCGATGTGACCCTGAGGCAAAAGTTGTTTAGTTTAGTTTTCTACATAAATGTTTTTTTTTTTTTTTTTT